TAGGACCATGGGAACATCTGAACTTGGGAACATAGGACCCTGGGAACATCTGACCTTGGGAATGTAGCGCCTTGGAAGCATAGGATCCTAGGAACATAGGACCTTGGAAACATAGGACTCTGGGAACGTAGGACCCTGGGAACATAGGACCTTGGGAGCATAGGGCATTGGGAACATAAGTCCCTGGGAACAGAGGACATTGGGAAAATAGGACCCTGGGAACACAGGACCTTGGAAACATAGGACCCTGGGAACATAGGACCTTAGAAACATAGGCGCCTGGGAACATAGGGCATTGGGAATGTAAGACCTTGAGAACATAAGGCCCTGGGAGCAAACAACCTTGGGAACATAGGACTGTGAGAACATAGGACATTGGGAACATAGGACACTGGGAACGTAAGACCTTGGGGAAATAGGACCCTGGAAACATAGGACCTTGGAAACATAGAACTCTGGGCACATAGGACCCTGGGAACATAGGAGCCTGGGAACATAGGGCATTGTGAATGTAAGACCTTGAGAACATAAGGCCCTGGGAGCAAACAACCTTGGGAACATAGGACTGTGAGAACATAGGACATTGGGAAAATAGGACACTGGGAACATAGGGCTCTGGGAACATGGGACCCTGGGAACATAGGGCATTGGGAACATAAGACCCTGGGATCACACAACCTTGGGAACATAGGACCATGAGAACATAGGACCTTAGGAAATAAGTACACTCTAATTTTTATGCCCAAGCAATAGCAGAACGAGCATAGATGGGTTTTAGCATCTATGTCTGACAAAAATACGCAGAACAAGTTTACATTCATAGCTACAGTCCAAGTAGCCAAGTTTGGCCACAGCAGTGCTGAGGTCAGAAACTGACCAATAGTGAATGGAGTAGAGGGGCCTGACAAATTGTGCATGACAACTTATGGACTGTGGTCTGTATTGTACACCCATACAGTGGATCTATTAGGCAAGGGGAGCTCAGAGATTGGAAGTAGAGGGTAGGTAAATAATAAAGTGACACCAGCACAGCCTCGTTTACCTCGAGAATGACTCAACTACACTTCCAGATAAATGATCACTGCAACGTTCTGAAGATCCAAAGCACAACAGCCGGTTTTATGCGAGGTCTGTTCAAGAGTATGAAAAGGCAATAAAGTAAATGTGACAGTTTCTCTATGGGAAACAAACTACTGGACTCAAGCCCAGCGGCAATTCATCTTACCACCGTCTGCAAAGAAATGCCAAGGCCCTCTGAGGGTGGCTAAAATACTGCTGCCTGCAGTGTAGATACAGTGCTGGGAAAAAGTATTCACCCTCCTCCTGATTTCTTCTGTTTTCTGTATTTGTCACACTTCATTATTTCAGATCTTCAAACTAAGTTTATTATGAGGCAAAGACAATCCGAGCAAACGCAAAACACAGGTTTTAAATGATCATTTTATTTATTGAAGGAAAAAAGAAGTTTTCCAGCACCAGCTGGCCCTGTGTGAAAAAGTGCTTGCTCTCTTAGTTACTCAATTAACAAAATCTTGTTGATAATTGGGGTCACACAGTCGCCACCCCTGTCGTATCTAAATAGAACCTTTCCAGCAATGTGTAGTAGGCTGAGGGGTCTAAACAGCCAACACACTATGTGACAATCAAAAGAAATTCAGTAGAGATGAGAGAAAGAAAGTTACTCAAATATATCCATCTGGAAAGGGTTACAAAGCCATTATTAGGCTCTGGGACTCCCCCAAACCACAGTGAGAGCTCTTATCTCTAAATGGACAAAGGAGATCTTCACATAAGTGCTGGGCCTAGCAAAAGTCCTCCAAGAGCACAGCGACGACTCATCCAGGAAGTCAGAAATGAGCCCATATGAACATCTACAAAGCTGCAGGCCTTGCTCACCTCAGGTAAGGTCAGCCTTCATGATTCCACCATTAGAAAAAGACTGGATAAAAATGGCATCCATAGGAGAGTTGGACGGTGAAAATCACTGCTAACCAAGAGGATCACAAAGGCTCATCTCACCCCCCAAACCTTGGGGAAATGATGTTCTCAGGTGAAAATGGAACTGTCTGCAGGACAGGGGTCCCATTACATCTGGTAATTTGGCTGAATTAAACCAGTTCTGCAGAGAAGATGGGTCAATGCTCACCCACAGCGATGTGAGAGACTGAGCTCCAGTTACAGGAAGCGTTCAGTTGCAGTTGTTGCTGCTAAAAGTGGCACAACCAGTTATTAAGTGTAGGGGGCAATTACTTTTTCACACCAGTGATATGGGTGTTGCAAAACTTTTCCTTTAATAAATTAAATGATCATTTTAAAACTGTTTTGTTTCCTCCTACTCTTCTTGTCTTATGTCACATTTTGTTTGATCTGAAACCATTTATTGCGACAAATATGCAAAAATAGAGAAAATGAGGAGGGGGGCCAAAACATTTTCACAGCAGCGTAGATTAAGGCCACTACTGTAGAAATCTGCCTGTGACTTTTGCATGTATAAAAATGAATTCAGTCCAGTTGTAACTGAATAGCGCTTTTCCAGCAGATGGCTATAATATGTAAATGAGCTCCTGACCAATCATAGTGTTTTTCACTGTGTGCTTTGAGCATCCCGACCAATCACAGCTCGTGATTCAAAGGCGCTCATGTTGCAGGCCATGTTTTACCATGATGCATTACTGATTCACCACTGCGGTTTTGATAGATTGCAAGGCATCTGCAATATGTAGTAATAACACTGGTGTCAAAGGGGAATTCCACTGATTTTTCAAAATTTCTGCATAATTGAATCATTAAGATGCAGGCAGAGTGGTTTGATTCTAGAGAATCTTACCGACTCAGATTTCCTCACAGTGGCGGTTTCTCTAGAATGGACCATTTAACATCAAACCCCTCTGAAGGACTTTGTTCGCATCTTAATGGTTCAATTACGCAGAAATTTTGAAAAAATGGTGGATTTCCTCTTTTAAGTTCATATGCCTACATTGAGAGGAACCCATCCTCCTCTGAGCTGCACCAGATTTTGGTAAACACAAAACTAACAGCACTTGCAAAGTGAATACTGGGAGAGGAATCTTTAAAGGGGAACTTCACCAACTTTTCAAAATTTCTACATAATTAAACTGTTAAGATGTAAACAGAGTCTTTCAGAGAGTGGTTTGGTGTGAAATGCTCCATTCTAGAGTCAGAATTGTTTACAGTGGTGGTGATGGGAACCAGAAGTCCACCTCCAAAAGCTTCCTCACAGAACATTATTACACTAAATGGTTATTAATACACGCCTGACGCCTGATGATAAAGTTTTGGCCTAAAACGTCTTGTTAATTTGTTGTAAGGCAAAAAAGCCCCTAAAGAAAATGTATTTTTTCATTCTGAAAGATAAAACCCTTCAAATCTTTCTCTTGTATGACAAGATGTCTGTCCTTTAATGTAATTACATTGCTTGTAGTAGCAATGGCGTCGTCAAGGGGGGGGCGCGGTGTGGCCTCCCTAAACCGTTCGCTGGCCCCCCGAGTTGCTGTTCTGTGTTCAGGAAATGATTGCCTTCTTCTTTCTAAACATGTTTAAGCTTTTACAAACTATGGTTTTGCTCAAATGCTCCACATTAACTCATTCATTTCGAATTGGCTCCGTGGCGCCCTCTAGCGTCTGACAAACCTGGACGACGTTACTAAGTGGGAGTTCTCCTCTCTACGCATTCACTGGAACTACTACTGGGGCACAGTCGATCCCAAAACGTTGAGTTGAACGGCATCAGTTTCATATTACAGGCTTTGAAGTGTGTTTTCTCTTGTTTGATGGGTGTGTCAGAGGTGTTACCCAATCAGCAGCGACCCCGCCTTATTAGCAAAGCAGTGCACACAATAGATTTTAATAAAGTCCTTTACAAAGGTGGCTGCTGTAGCTTGGAATATGCAACAAATGAAGACATTAGAAGACACATTTGTCGTAATATTTGGTTGTAAAGTCTGATTTGATTGTATAGTTGCAACCTTTGTGTAACACAGGTGTTCAAAGCACCAACGCAGCCCTGGTTTTAATGCATTACATGGATCAGTAGCTTCATACATAATGCACTGCCTGTCTCTGTAAGTTCGATGGTTCTTTAACCTCTTAAAACACTTCTATAACCTACAAACAGCTCAGCCAGTTTGCACTGAAGTCCCTGCAGTTACTGAATAATAGGCCTTACTATGTAATAAGCCTGGGATTTAAGGGGTTAAGCTCAAGTAATGCAGGCTTGCTTAACCTCTTCAAATCCCAGGCTTATTACATAGTAAGGCTTATTATAGAAGTGCGTATTAAAACTTTGGCCCTGCCGGTGGGCCCGGGACATTTAAGAGGTTAAAGAACCAAAAACAAAAGAAGTGCTGAGGCAGCCTTTTGTTTTTATGCGCCAAAAAAAGGGAACAGCCCACATGCAGCATCAGGGCATCAGTTCAAGAAGCAGCAGAAAACATATTTTTACCAACTTTATTTTTCCTGATTCTGTTGTTTTTAGTAGTATTTTAAGTAGTGATTTTTTAATTACTATTTAATTTGTATTATTTTTTGTTACATGTCTGTTATCACTGCTGTTATTTTTAGCATTTCTACTATTATTAGAATTTCTATTGTTTAACTGCCTTTTTTATTTACATTTATGTTCATGATTTTATTTAAATGTATACATTTTTATCTCTTTTGTCTTTCAATTCACTCTGAAGCACTTTGAGCTGCATATGAGAAGTGCTATACAAATAAAGCCTATTATTATCATTATTATTATTATTGTTATTATTATTGTTATTGTTGTTGTATTCCACTGTTTGTACCTCTGAGGTAGTAAATCAGTGGAAGTGAAGGCCTGTCTGTTGCCTATACCGTCACTGTTATACCGTCTGAGGCCTCAGCAATGTGTAGAAAATTGAATCCTGCTCCTGAAACGAGAGCAGCGCTTTAGGCCACTGACCGATTTGTCAAACACGATTCAAGGTCCACGTCAATCCGCCCGAGTCCTGCAGGCCTAAAACACAACCGCCAGTTTCGCTCAGCTCGCTGCGCCACCTGCCGTTCACATGCTTAAAGTACAGAAACAAAGCTAACCGCTGTCTAAAGTAAAGCTGAAGGTCGAGTTAAAACGGATTTACTACAAAACACATCAGCGAAAGCGAGCAGTCCTCTTTATCTACATCAGCGCTTGGGAAACGTCTGGAAGCGGCCGTTGAAAGGCGGAAAAACTACAGTTCCCATGATGCATTGCGCCACGGTGACATGTAACACGCGCCGCTGTCGTTTATTTTGCTGCTGTCCTGCCTCCGGACTGACTTTATCTCGACATTAAAGCCTCACAGACCGCTAAAAGCGCAGTTAACGGCGCCGACATATTTGATCTAACGGTAAGAAGCGAGTATCTATGAACACTTGGTTCTGTGTGTTGTCGTCTGCTCGTATTCGGGATTTGTAGTTTCGTAGCTTCCAGCCAGCGTGCTGTCCTCTGTGGTAACGTTAATGTGTGCTCGTGCTCTTATAAATATGTTTTTATTGTATATGTTCCACAGACGACCCTCTCATATAAGTGTGTGTACATTTGTTCGTACATACAGTAATATATATCAATATGTGCTGTTCTCTTATTAATATGGACTTACTCGTGTTGACATCTCGCTATGCTTGTCTGCTTATGCTTATGTTCTGCCTTAAAGTGAAGCTCCACCGATTTTTCAAAAGTCCTACATAATTAAGTGGTCGAGATGTGAACGAAGTCAGTCAGAGTGGTTTGGTGTTAAATACTCTGTTCTAGAGAAACGTGCTGAGTCAGAACTGTTCCCAGTGGTGGTGATAGGAACCAGACGTCCACCTCTAAAAGCTCACAGGGAGTTATTATATGAAGTGGTTGTAAATACTGATTGTAAGCCTGATGACTGAGACATTGTTTTATTATAGTTTTGTGCTAAAGTTTTGGTTTAAAATGCATTTTAATCCATTTATTTTAATCCATTCATGGCGGATGGGTACACGCAGGACGTTGTGAGGCAAAGTAGTCCCCGAAGAAAACTTATTTTTTCAGATCTATGACTATTTTACCATCATCAACATTACATATGAAACTTAGAAGACACATGGAAGTTCACTGGAGGTTTTGGATAGTAAATAAAACGGATGAATTTGTGTTGTAGTCATGGTGACCTCTGGTTCCTATCAGCACCACTGTAAAGAAATCAGTTACGTTGCTCTACGTTGCTCTACTATGAACCATTTCACATCAAACCACCCTGAATGACTCATGATATTCTTTACATCTCAAGGACTGAATTATTCAGAAATTTTGAAAAGTTGGTGGTATTACCCTTTGATATCTCCTTGTAATTCACATTTTTGCAGTTTGCCTTCTGCAGTAATAAATTCTTTCTTAATATTTGCTTATTTCTGTTAAAATCTGCACCTAATTCTGGGTTTTGTAGTATTATTAGTATTATTATCTGCTTATATCTGTTAATATATGACCATTAATGTCTTTTTTCATAGTTTGGACGATGCTGCTCTCCTCGGTGCCGAAGCGGTTGCTGCTGACGCGGCGCTCGCGCAGTCTGTCTCCGTGTCGTGCGCTGCGTACGAGCCCCGGCGAGGCCTCAAGGTGCTACACACGGGAGCTGGAAATGACCCGGAGCCCCACGACCGCCACCATCACTGTCACTCCTCAAGTACAGTACCACCAGCTGGCCAACAGGTGGCGCGTTAGCCTGGAGAACCGGAGGAGCTCATGGGCAGCATTGGCCTCGGTGGGGCGCACCAATAAGTACTGGGAGGAGGAGGAGGGAGGGGGCAGCAGGGCGAGAGGGAGGGCAGCAGCTACAGCGGGGGCGCTGTCCGCTGCAGCCGTGGCCTTATGCCTAAAGAAGGATGATGACTCTAAAGGTGAGTAAAGTACAGTGTGCAGGAACCGCTTACCTACTGAATCAGGTCACTTTCATTCCCTAGATAATGGTTCACTATGTAGGGAATGAGGGCTCGATTCAAGACACACCCCTAAGTTATGTAAGATGGTCCTTGTAAGCTTGTAAGAGTTCACCACCATATGGTCCATATATGAAAACCCGTTTTAATGATGTCACAAGAGCCAACTCTTCTGTGTAGGTCAGCCTATGCAGCCTGCTGCATTTTACAGGGACGCGGGAAGTGCAGCCCCCTCAGCACCCCCAATTTCAGGACTGTAACTGCTAAAAACAAAAAAAAAATTAACAAAAAGGATTTGAGCTTTTTAATAATTTAAGTGAAGCAAAGACCGGTGTGCTTGTTTTAGAGTGGACTTTGTATTTTTCTATTTTTATTTATATATTTTCTAAATCTGATTAAGTTGATGCTGCGTTTTCATCGCATTAGGCCGAATCGCTTCCCTTGACAGCAGGTGACCGCTTTGAGGGCGCGACGCTAAACCACACGGTTCAAAAATTGAAAGTATAGAAATAGAAGCCAGATCTGAACCCCAAAGCCACTTAATACCGTTTTTAAACTGTTAAAAAGTCGTCTGACGTTAATAGTAACTTTTTATCAATCACTACATCAGCCAGCTCGGTGTGTGTTCCCACCTCGTGACTGTGGCCGTGACAGTTACTGTGCCACATATCAACAACCTGATTGGTTGTGACTCAGATGTGCATCAGCAGTCCGGAGCATTCTGATGTAAAGTATAAAAAAAATTCACAGGAAAAAAAATGGCAAAAAATTGTATGACATCATCGTTCATGTCATGCATATGCTGCTTAAGATTTCAGCATCCCCAACTTGCAACACCTTCCTGCATCCCTGGCAGTGTAGCTCCGCCCAGGGGGTGTTTTGCTCACTGCATGTAGGGCTAATGGCCCCTGGGTTTTGTAGGTGCTGGTCTTCTGCCCTGCTGTTGAATTCTTACTTATTGGAGATGTTGGCTTGTAATTTCTACACTGTTCACCAGATTTACATGTAAATACCCTCAAATTGAAACTGACTGTGTCATAGTTCATTAGTTAAAGCTGCACTATGTAAGTTTTGGGGATTTGGAGACCTCTCTGGTGGAAATGTGTAATTACATGCAATGTCATTTTGTAATGTGGGTTGTGCTTCAGATCTCTTCCCTGAGCGGATTAATCTGACGGTAGCAAGCATGTTGAAAGTTTAGCTCCGCCCACTCATGCTGAAGTTATAAGGAGTGTTTCGGCTCTCTGTGGTGTCTCAGTAGAGAAAGCTAAGCGAGCTCTTTCATTGGTTAGGACTTCAGGAGGTGCCCTGAAGGCCTAACGTCTCAGATTAACTACCAGCATAATGAGGACTGCACAGTGGAATCAGCCAATCATGTTTTGAGTTTCAGTGGAGGGGACCAATACTGTGCGAATAAACATCACTCTAGACCTTGTGGATGTTCTAGATACGTCACTGACTGTGAATATGGCTGTAGTCTAACCAGGTTTTGGTTAGTTGTTAGGAATGGAAAACAGCCGAAGCTCTTTACTGAAAGACTCAACAGCTACAAGATCAAATGTTTATTATTGTTTGTTACAAGCTTTAAACGTCTGTGTTTAGAAATGTTAATCGTCGTTAGCTTAGCACTAACATACTACTGGAATCCCATAGGGATGCTATCAGAATTTGGCTCTAATAGTCGTAGTCCATCACTGAATAGTGGCATGGTTATTTTTATAGTGTATTTTATTATATTATAATAACAGTAATAACAAATGTTTTTTACCTTACAGGTGAAGCTCTTCTGAATGCCGCCAGATCCAACAACACCCAGGAGGTGCAAAGGTAAGCAGCTCACCTGAGGGAAGTTGGGAAATGACCTCCGCACCCTCTCAGCAGGAATAGAATCACTTCACACTGCAGGTTGACTTTATCACTTGTGCCCCACTAGCTGCATGCATAGAAGTGCATGTAGGCAAGGTGCGAAATACAGGGGGTCTTAGGGGGTCCTGGGTCCCCTAATTAACCTCTTGGATCCTCTGAATGTCTCAAAATTCTGGGGGGTCCCTGAAAATTAACTTCATATGATTCAAACCTGTCTGTTCGTTTACATTAGACGCTCAAATACAAATTCAGGGGAAACTCATTGTTTAGCTGCTTCTCCCATGAAGCAGTTAGCGCCTGGGCTAATAGCGCCTGAGTTTTGTGGGTTGAATTCTTACTTATTGAAGACATTAGTTCATAATTTCGACACCATTCACCAGATTTGGACAGAAATACTCTCTAATCAAAACTAACAGTGTCATAGTTCATTATTTAAAGCTGCACTATGTAAGTCTTGGGGAATTTGGAGACCTCTCTGGTGGAAATGTGTAATTGCACGCAACGCAAACATTTAGTGATGTAGGTTGTGCTTCAGATCTCTTCCCTGAGCGGATTAATCTGATTGCGAGCGCTTTAAGAGGATTCTTAGAGAACTAGGAGTGAACAGTTCATCAGTTTTACATCAGAATTCTAATATGAAAGAGTGGCATTTACAAATTACAAGAACTTCAGTTTTAATTATATGAATTATTTAATTTTTACTTAATTACGCAAAGCTAATGCTGGCAGTTAGTACACAGGCCCCATATTGTGTTTTATGATCTTGAATCCAGCTAATAAACAGTAATTGTGCATTAAAATGTGCAGGACTGTGTTCTCTGGACAGGATGTGTTCATTTATTTTCACTTACAAAATCAGCCAAAGCATGTCGTTTGATCAGGGGTGCCTAAAATTTTGCACCAAACTGTATATTTGTGTAGGAGGCCAGATTGTGAACAATGCTCTGACCACTAGAGGGCAGCAGTGGTTCGTGCCTCAGTGAGCACACAATCACATTAAGGAGATCTGACAGTGGAGAGAGAGAGAGAGGGAGAGCAAGGGAGAGCAAGGGAGAGCGTGAGATGGAGAGAGATAGAGAGAGAGAGAGAGAGTGAAAGACAGATAGAAGAAAAGAGACAGAGAGATGGAGAAAGAAGGAGAGAGCAAGAGAGAATGTAAGACAGAGAGAAGAAGAGAGAGAGCGAGAGATGGAGAAAGAAGGAGAGAGAATAAGAGAGCGAAAGACGGAGAGAGAGAGGAAAAGAGAGAGCGAGAGATGGAGAAAGGAGAGAGAGTGAAAGATGGAGAGAAAGAAAACAAGATATGAAGGAGAGGAAGAGAGAGAGACTGATAGAGAGCGAGAGATGGAGAGAGAAGGAGAGAGAGCAAGAGAGCGTGAACGACAGAAGGAGAGAGAGGAAGAGAGAGAGCGAGAAATGGAGAAAGAAGGAGAGAGAGAGCAAGAGAGAGCGAAAGATGGGGAGAGAGGGCAAGAGATGCAGGAGAGAGACACAAAGGGGAGAGCAAGCGAGAGATGGAGAGAGCAAGAGAGAGTGAAGGAGAGAGAAGATAGAGAGAGAGAGCAAAAGGACAGAGAAAGGGGAGAGCGAGCTAGAGAGAGAGATGGAGAGAGAGAAAAAAATGGAGAGAGAGGAAGAGAGAGAGAACAAGAGATGGGGAGACGGCGAGAGAGAGAGAGATGGAAAGACAGAGAGAGAAAGATGGAGAGAGAAGAAGAGAGAGAGTGAGAGACAGAGAAAAGGAAAGCAAGAGATGGAGAGAGCAAGAGATGGAAAAAGAAGGGTTAAGCGAGAGACAGAAAGGGGAGAGCAAGCGAGTGACGGAGAAAAGGAGAGAGAGAGTGAGAGGGGGAAAGAGACAGAGACAAAGGGGGTGAGCTAGAGAGAGAGAGATGGAGAGAGAATGTGAGAAACAGAGTAAGAAAGTGAGAGACAGAGAAAGAAGGAGAGAGAGAGAAAGAGAGAGTGAGACAGAGAGAAGGAGACAGAAAGAGAGGGAGAGAGACAGAAGGAGAGGGAGAGAGAGATACAGAAAGAGAGGAAGAGAGAGACAGAGAAAAAGAAGGAGACAGAAAGAGAGGGAGAGAGACAGAGAAGGAGAGGGAGAGAGAGACAGAGAAAGAGAAGGAGACAGAGAGAGAGGGAGAGTGACAGAGAAGGAGAGGGAGAGAGAGACAGAGAAAGAGAAGGAGACAGAAAGAGGGAGAGAGACAGAGAAGGAGAGGAAGAGAGAGACAGAGAAAAAGAAGGAGACAGAAAGAGAGGGAGAGAGACAGAGAAGGAGAGCGAGAGAGAGAGAGAAAAAGAAGGAAACAGAAAGAGAGGGAGAAAGACAGAGAAGGAGAGGGAGAGAGAGATAGAGAAAGAGAGGGGGAGAGAGAGAGAAAGAGAAGGAGACAGAAAGAGAGGGGGAGAGAGAGAGAAGGAGACAGAAAGAGAGGGAGAGAGAGACAGAGAAAGAGGGAGAGAGAGACAGAGGAAGAGAAGGAGACAGAAGGAGAGGGTGAGAGAGACAGAAAGAGAAGGAGAGAGAGACAGAGAAAAAGAAGGAGACAGAAAGAGAGGGAGAGAGACAGAGAAGGAGAGCGAGAGAGAGAGAGAAAAAGAAGGAAACAGAAAGAGAGGGAGAAAGACAGAGAAGGAGAGGGAGAGAGAGATAGAGAAAGAGAGGGGGAGAGAGAGAGAAAGAGAAGGAGACAGAAAGAGAGGGGGAGAGAGAGAGAAGGAGACAGAAAGAGAGGGAGAGAGAGACAGAGAAAGAGGGAGAGAGAGACAGAGGAAGAGAAGGAGACAGAAGTAGAGGGTGAGAGAGACAGAAAGAGAAGGAGAGAGAGACAGAGGAAGAGAAGGAGAGAGAGACAGAGGAAGAGAGGGAGAGAGAGACAGGAAGAGAAGGAGACAGAAAGAGAAGGAGAGAGAGACAGAGGAAGAGAAGGAGACAGAAAGAGGGAGAGAGAGACAGAAAGAGACGGAGAGAGAGACCGAGAAAGAGAGGGAGAGAGAGAGAGACAGAGAAAGAGGGAGAGAGAGAGAGAGACAGAGAAAGAGAAGGAGAGAGAGAGAGAGACAGAGAAAGAGAAGGAGAGAGAGACAGAAAGAGAGGGAGAGAGAGAGAGACAGAGAAAGAGAGGGAGAGAGAGAGAGACAGAAAGAGAGGGAGAGAGAGAGAGACAGAGAAAGAGAGGGAGAGAGAGACAGTGAAAAATGCACTGTTGCCATACGAGCACAATGTGGAGCTGTACCCACAGACCTGCAGTGAAGGATGAGCTGAAACACAAACATGACCAGCTTGGCCTGCGGAGGGACAGACTGACCCCACCTTCTCAGAAATAAGGCGCTCACCCTGAACCTCTCAGTGCGGTGTGCGGTATGTGAGTGTGTTTGTGAGGGGTGAGACGACCTTAACACACCATCTGTTGTACCACCCGGTTTCCAAGAAAGTTGGGCCGCTTTGCAAAATGTAAACATAAACAGAATCCAGTGATGTGCAGATCATTTAAAAACTATATTTCATTGAAAATACTACAAAGACAACATATCAAATGTTGAAACTGAGAAATTTCATTGTTTTATGAAAAATATGTGCCCATTTTGAATTTGATGCCAGCAACACGTTCCAGAAAAGTTGGGACGGGGGCAACAAAAGGCTGGGAAACTTGTGTAATGCTAAAAAAAAACACCTGGTGAAACATCTCACAACTAATTAGGTTAATTGGCAGCAGGTCAGTAACATGATTGAGCATAAAAAGAGGCGGAGTCTTTTAGAAGTAAAGATGAGGAGGAGTTCACCACTCTGTGAAAGACTGCACCATCAAACAGTGCAACAGTTTCATCATCTGTGGTGTGTAATATCATTAAAAGACCCAGAGAGTCCAGAGAAATCTCTGTATGTAAGGGACAAGGCCGAAAACCGACAGTGCCTGGCCATGATCTTTTGACCCTCAGGCGGCATTAAAAACAGACACGAATCTGTAGAGGAAATCACTGCATGAGCTCAGAAACACTTCCGAAAACCTGTGAACACAGTTTGTTGCAAGTGCAAGTTAAAACTCTACCATGCAAAGAAGAAAAGACATATAAACAGGATCCAGAAACGCCGCCGCCTTCTCTGGGCCTGAGCTCATTTAAGATGCACTGAGGTGAAGTGAAAGTGTCCTGTGGTCTGACGAATGAAAACCTGAAATTCTTTTTGGACATCATGGACGCCACGTCCTCTGCTAAAGAGTAGAGGGACAGTCCGGCTTGTTATCAATGCACAATTCAAAGGCCAGTATTCATGATGGTGTAGGGGACATTAGTGCACATGGCATGAGTGACGTGCTCATCTGTGAAGGCACCATTAATGCTGATTGATGTATACAGGTTTTGGCAACATTTGCTGCCATCCAGACGACGTCTTTTTCAGGGAAGGCTTTGATTATTTCAGCAAGACAATGTCAAACCACATTCTGCACATATTACACCAGCATGGCTCTGTATTAAAAGAGTCTGGGCGCTAAACTGGCCTGCCTGCAGTCCAGACCCGTCACCCTCAGAAAACATTTGGCGCATTATGAAACAAAAAATACGTGAAAGGAGCCCCTGAACTGTTGAGCAGCTGAAATCCTATATCAATTTATAGCAGTTGGTCTCCAACTTGAAACATGTTGCTGAAATCAAAGTCAAAATGAGCAGATATTTTTCAACAAACAATAACATTTCTCAGTTTCAGCATCTGATCTGTTGTCTTTGTACTGTTTTCAATGAAATATAGGGTTTTGCACATCATTTGGATATTTACATTTTGCACAGCGTCCCAATTTTTTAGCAAACAGGGTTGTAGTTAGCAGTGGGCATATATATATATATATATATATATATATAAACTGTAAAAAAAAATATATATATATATGTGTGTGTGTATGTGTGTGTGTGTGTGTGTATATATATATATATATATATATATTCACACATATATATAGATATATGTAAACTGTAAAAAAATTATTATACTATATGATAAATATATATATATGTGTGTATTCAGATAAATCCGTTTTAGATGCTTAAATATGGGAGAAAGAGTAGAAACATTTATTGAAGATTATCTGCACATTGGAACGTGCAGTTGTGTGCAAATGTTTGAGCTCCCCTGATCAAATGAAATGCTATTGATGAATTTCTCTGTGAAAATTAGTGAATCATCCTCTGTAAAAAAACACACTTCTGCACATTTACTGGAATAAACAGAACATAAAATGTCCTGTGCAAAAGTTACGGCTCATGACATATTTTATATTTTTAAATGTTAAACTCAGGAAATACATAGAAACTGTGCACTGAAACTTGCAGAAAAATGCCGTATTTAAGTGTTGGGGAAAACAGTGCACTTAATTTGACCGGGGTGGTCAAACTTTTGCAGATGATTGTATGGACCAAATTCTAGATATGGACATTAAAGTGTTGGTATTGACAGATTTGATCTGCTGGCCAGTTTATCTGACCCTGTTCTTATATGATCTGTGTCCACACTCGTATCAGATGATGTCCACCCCACCCACACACACCTGTCCCCCACTTAAGACGTCTGGTGGATCGTCTGCGCGTTTGCTGGAGATAAACCGTTAAACAATACGTGCAGTGGAGTGAGTGAAACTCGAGAGAGAGAGAGAACGAGAGAGGTATAGAGAGAGGTATAGAAGTGAGGGAGCGACTGTTTCACTGTGTTGCTGTAGAGTTTTAGCCCAGAGGCCTCTGCGCAGATGGGTGTGTGTGTGTGTGTGTGTGTGTGCTGGGTGTGTGTGTGCTGGGTGTGTGTGTGTGTGTGTGTGTGTGTGTGTGTGTGTGTGTGTGTGTGTGTGCTGGGTGTGTGTGTGTGTGTGTGTGTGTGCTGGGTGTGGGTGTGTGTGTGTGTGTGTGTGTGCTGGGTGTGTGTGTGTGTGCTGGGTGTGTGTGTGTGTGTGTGTGTGTGTGTGTGTGCTGGGTGTGGGTGTGTGTGTGTGTGTGTGTGTGCTGGGTGTGGGTGTGTGTGTGTGTGTGTGTGTGCTGGGTGTGGGTGTGTGTGTGTGTCTGTGGGTGTGTGTGTGTGTCTGTGTGTGTGTGTGTGTGTGTCTGTGTGTGTGTGTGAGTGTGTGTGTGTGTGTGTGCTGGGTGTGTGTGTGTGTGTGTGTGTGTGTGCTGGGTGTGTGTGTGTGTGCTGACAGACACCAGATGTGTTAAGTATTGTAGTTTGAGGCTGCCTGGCGGCTCGGGGGGGTTAGAGGGGGCGCTGGGGGGGCACAGGAGGCCGTGTTGACTGTAAACACTCACACTGTTCCTGACAGACGGCAGCAGCACAGATCACTGTTCATCTTTACTCACCTTACATTTACTCACTGCTTACCTTTACACCTGATCTCTCTCGCTCTCTCTCTCTCTTTCCCCTTCTCTCCCTGTCTGTCTGTTTGTCTGTCTGTATCTCTCCTTTCTCTCTATCTGTCTCTCTCATCTCTCTCTGTCTGTCTCTCTCCTATTCCTCTCTCTGCCCCTCTCCTTTGTCTATTTGTCTTAACTTTCTCTCTCCTATCTCTTTTCTTCTCTCTCTCTTTTTCTTTCATTGTTGTTTTCTGTTTTTCTGTCTTCCTGCCCACTTTCTCTCACTTTCTCTATCTCCATTTCTTTCTTTCTTTCTCTCTATCTCTATTATTCTCTCTGTTTTTCTTTCATTTTTTTTCTTTTTCTTTGTTTTTCTGTCTCATTCAATTTCTTTCTTTCTCTCTCTCTCTCTCTCTCTCTCTCTCTCTCTCTCTCTCTCTCTCTCTCAGGTTGTTGGCAGCTGGAATGGATCCAAACTCTCGTCATCGTCTGGGCTGGACGGCTCTTATGGTCGCTTCCATGAACAGACACCACAAGTAAGTGTGTGTGTGTGTGTGTGTTTCTGGTTAAGTGAGTTTGTATTTTGTTGTGCTGGTGGTCCTCAGATCAGACCACTGGCTGTGTGTTTAAAAGCGTGTATAAGATTAAGACAGTAATGGGCCTTAATGAGCCTAATTAGCTTACAGAGCTCACTGCTGCTGTAGTTCATTCAGGCTGAACGTGAGTCAACATTTGTAATAAAACACACATTTTCACACATTTGTAGCTCAGACTTAAAAAAAAGAGAAAGAAAACAAAAGCAGGAAACAACATCTATATAAGAAGCATGTAATATTATAGTTTAATACTGTGGTATAATGATTTGTTATTGAAGTTATGAGCATTACATTTGTTTTGTAGTACATTGCCTTCATATTTTGGTATTTGGCATAAAACCATAATAAGGTTCTCTGTCCAATATCAAGAACATCTAATCCAAAATAATTTATTAACAGTAGTTGAACATTTGTAAATAACGCAGCCAGTGGGTCGGTCAGTCAGTCTTTTAGAGGTGGAGTTATGGCTTACGTCCAGTTTGGTCTAAATTAAATAATTCATGTCTTAATATTGAAATACATAACCCAAGGGACGTGACTGGTGTGTCGGGACTTCAATCCTAAGGGAAATGTCTAGGACTGTGCCTGCAAGTTAAATCGTCAATAAATCACTGGGGTTCTCGCAAGTTAGTAACGTTCTTGGTAAAAAGATTTCAAAGATTTTTCATTCAAAACTTGCATCATTCACTCTTAATATAATATAACATTACCATAAAACCAGCTTTGTTGCAGGTATATGTGGAAAACTATTCTATCATGATGCTGCTTCTATACAGCTTATATTTATATAAAGCTGTGATAAATAAAGAAATGAGCTGTTGATGATTCCATAATGGCTGAGAAAAATTAAAATTTGGAATGAAATGATAATAAAATTAATATCCAGAACGCCTTGTATTTGTAACGATTACAATTGAATCTCATAGCTGTAAGTATTAACAGCAGATTACTTACCATTTAATGACTTTTTGACATATATTAATGTTAAATAAAACATTTTCCGATGCTTTCTAACATTGTCTACCATTGTTTTGAATGCTAGTGTATTTACTTATTTGTATATTCTTACAATTGAATTCTAATTAATACATGTCATATTTCTGTATATGGACGTTTGGACAGTGATGCTTTTGGGTATCTGTACAAGTTTAAGCATCGTTTTGTTTTACTGAACATGTTGTTTACGAGCAACAGTGGTGGATGCGCTGGGTATAGAACGCTGATGCAGCATGGACAAAAAAAAAGCACTTCTAGTTATATGATAGTTTTGGGCTGTCTTGCATACTCAGTGTGTTTAAGATCTACCCATCGTCATTTTGCTGCCTAACTAGGCCCAATCTGGTAGTGCTTCCAGTTCTGTGATATTCTTGGGCATTGCCAGCAGAGCAGCACCGCCCAGGGCAGTGAGGGTTAAGTACCTTGCCCGAGTACACAGCCAGGTCCACCCAGTCGGTCCTGGGATCTGAATCCACAGCCTTCTGGTTCACCTTTTGTACCAGTCTCCAATAAAAAGCCTTCTTCTTCACTATTCTGAGAAATCATGGCTTTCTAGGAGTCACAACCCCCCCCCCCCTTTTTTACCAAATTCAATTAACCCTGCCTTTCCAAACACTCGCACACACAGCCAGAGGACCATGGGGTGGAGAGGGGGGGCGTCGGAATCCAATTTAGGAAGCGAATGGCAGCGGGGGCGCGCCTCCTCTTTTGATTGGAGGGGTGCGGGCTGTTGCCCCTCAGGAGTGAAACAGATGCCATTCTGACTGGGCAAACACAGCGGAGACCTCCAGACCTTCAAAGAGAAGACCCGAAACATCGACCCCCACCCCCATCACCCCAGCCTCTCAGCCTGCCGATCCCCCCATCCCGATACAGGCTGTGGACGCGCACAGACCAGATGAGGAATAAATGAGTAGCTAATTTTAATGTGGGGATGAGAGTCAGAAATGTTGACTTGGACTGCAACAATGGACACAGCACCCCCTATTTCCATTTATTTACTTATTTGCTCATTTATTTGTCTGTGGAAAAACATTTTAATGTGCAGTGTTTTGTCCATGGAGTAGGGCTTATGGCATACAAATTATTGTGTATAAATAAACAGGAACTTGAACAAAGGCAGGTGGCAGTGCTGGAGGGCTTGACACATGAGGAGGGTAGACAACACACACAACAAAACCCACCCTCCTAGGAACACAGTTCAATAAACAAACACCTTCACAAACTACAACAACAACATCAGCAACAACAAATGTCCTTTTTTTTTAGACCGGTACTGAGGCACATGCTGAAGGCTACGTTGCAAGGCCACACCCCCTTTAACTCGCCACGGCAGCACAGAGCCCGTGGCGGATGCCCCCTCAAGGATTGGCGGTCCCGGCCACCCACACAGCTCGAACAAAGTCTCTGAGGCGCACAGCCGTGCGTCACTCACGTCACTCGCCTTTCTGCAGCCGGAGCCTTGGCCTGTCCACTGCCCCGGCCAGCATAAGTACTGTGGGTTCCCCACTCCTCGGCAGTGGGTGTCCCCAGTCCTCTCTTGGGGCCATGTTCTTGCTGCAGTAGTGCCTCGTGGCCCGGCGCAATCTCCCTTTTCATGGGGCTGGTACAGGGCAAGCCGCAAGCAGTCCATCGCCCCAGCTGGACCTGATACAGTACCTCACCCAGCCCAGGTACTCCTTCACCACACGGGGGCCTTCCCACAGGTGCTTGGGACAGTGCCTTTTCCTGTGGCGCGTGTTGTACAACCACACCCATATCCCCAGTGAGAGCGCCTGTCCCTGACAGGGCGAGTTGTATGGTTTTATGCTGAGTTGTATGCTTTTAGCAGGCGCTGGCATCACTCTGGTGATTCCTAGAGAGGTCATACACAACGTGGAGGCAGTGGCAGAGCTCCTCGGCGTAATCCTATCCCAGTTGACTTTTGCACAGCAAAGGCACGCCAGCAGGACCAAGGGTAGGAGCCGGTCCCAGTTGTGCTGGTATTGTACGGTGATGATGGCGAGCTGAGTGGCGAGTGTCAGGTTGAAACACAGGAGCAAGGCTGTCGCTCTGTGGGTATAGCGGTATAGTCCAAGTCTTCCAGATGTCCAGCCAGTTGCAGACCTCAGCCATGACCGCTGACTTGAAGTTGCACTCCTGGTTGCTGTGGAGTTGCTCTGGCACCCTGAACTGGCAGAAGAGTGCCTCAACTAGCCACTCCACTTCATGGCTACACTCTGGTCCGGGACCATGAATGCCGAGTCACTTAGTGAAAGAGTCCATGGCCACAAGGACATAGTGGTTCCTGGTGTCGGTGGTGGAAAAGGGGCTCTAGATGTCCAAATTCAACCCTTTCCATCGGTGTGCCTGAAAGCAGAGACTGAAATAGGGTATGAAAGTGCTGCAGCCGTCCCTACTTTGCTGTGCACTGGTCACAGCAATGCACATACAGCTTCACATCTGTGCAGCAGCCCGGCAGGTAGAACCTCTGCTGCAACCATGTGGTTCATGGTCTTGCCCACACCAAAGTGCCCCACGCCAGCCATCCCAGTGCCCAGCACTGTCTTACTCAGGCTCAGCAGCACCAACAGCTGCCTCACATGCTTCCCAGCACTGGCTCCTAATACACATGGTACAGCATCTTGTGCATCTGAAGGGTGTCCCAGCTGGCATGAAGCACCTTAGCAGTGAGCCTGTGTGGCATCACATCTGCCCAACCAGGTTTCCGACCCTCCTGGAGCTCTGCATCCTGTTTCTGGGCGTGCTCACAGTGTCGCTGCTGCTGTCGTCACCCCCAGTTTCATGCAGCAGCAGCAGCAGCGCTCCTCTTAGCTGCCATCTCCCTCAGTTTCTGCTCCATGGCCTCTTTCTTAAGGAAATCAGTGGGGATGGAGCCAAATTGGTGCAGCGCCGCCTGTGTTGATGCTGTGCTGCCCTAAGTTAGTCCGTGTGCAGTCTTTCTCTGTAGCCACGAAGGTGTTACTATAACAGCTCAAGAGCTCTCATAGCCACTGTTTCTGCTCTTCTGTTAAGCCCAACCTGCTCCGCTGCCACAGTTCATGCACCACTTCCAATGTTGGGCAGACCTCCTCCTTACTCATCGCTGCTTCCCTCCACGTATTCTGCTTTATCTGTCGTCCACTGCGTTGTCGACTTCCGACTTACGCGCCTCATTGGGTTTTAAGCATTTTTTCAGGCTAGTAGTTCAGGATAGAGTAGTTTTTGAGCTTGTTTAATTTCAGCCATGATGGAAAGGTACATGCAGGGTGTTCTAAGGCAAATTAGTCAAGCATCACATGTAAAAACTCAGAAGACACATGTAGGTTCACTGGTCGTGTATGATAATAAATGAAGCGGCTACATTCGCATTATGGCTTTAGTAGGCACTGCAACGCCTGGTTCCATTCACCTCCACTGTAAAGAAATCTGAGCTAATAAGTTACCACTTCACACTAAACCACTCTGAATTAATTTGTTTACATCCCAATGATTGATCCATGTGGAAATCGATTGAATTCCCCTTTAAGTTGCTCACTCTCCACATGGGAGAGCAGGGTTCAAGCCCTGCTTATGTTTTTTTTCTGTCTTGTCAGTCAGAGTTATTGCTTCCTGTTTGCCTGTATGTACTGTGTTAAGTGTTTGCTCTGAAGAATGACCTCTCTTGTAAATATTTATGACCAAAATAATAGATTTCTATTCATCATTATGAGTAAAGAGTCCGTTTTTCCCTCTATCTCTAGTGACGGAGTTTAAATCCTATTGTTGTTACTCAGAGACAGTAGATTAATGATGTTTCTATCAGTGTCTCTATGAAATGTATCGCTATTCTTTCTAAATATGTCCAGAAAAAACTTATACACACACTGCTGCCGGGTGTTTCTGCTTTCTGTGTGTGTGTGTGTGTGTGTGTGTGTGTGTGTGTGTGAGACGCTCTCGCCGTCTGTTATGAGCAGTATAACTCA